GTAGCGCCTGTCGACGTTGCAGGCAGAACTTCTGGAGGAGGGGTGGGTGAACTTCTTTACGGATGGATTGGAACTGGACGGCAGGGTTGGTGGAGGGTCTTCTGTCGAGAGCTTGCCATCAGCACTAAGTTCAGGCTCCCGGACTTCTGCAGTGTACTCCAGGCGGAAGTAGCTGCTATCAAGGAGGCGGTGGATTCACTGATAAGGTATAACGCTCCTTATAGTCAGGTAAGTGAGGTATATTCTGATAGCCAAGCGGCTATCAGGGCCTTGAGTTCGTTAGAGGTGCGCTCTAACTTGGTTAAAGAACTGCGTGGCTGACGAGCTGGCCAGGGAAGGAACCTATGAAACGTTATCGCCGGATAAAGAGCGATTGGGGGTGCCGGTGATCACTTGCGGTACACTCCTGGACAGATGGGCCTCATGTCAGCTCGCGGGCTGGGCGAATACCACGACATGCGCGATCGCAAGGTCCTTTTGGCCGAGTCTGGACCGGGGGAGGTCGAGGGCACTCCTCAAACCCACTAAGCCACATCTCTCACTTCTGGTGTGGGTTTTAACGGGTCACTGTCCTATCGGTATTCAGCGCAGAAAGGCTGACCATTCTACCGGACCCCTTATGTCGCAGTTGCCTAGAAGAGGACGAGGTAGAATCACCTCAACACTATCTTCTTAGGTGTCCAGCTTTTGCGAGGCTAAGGTTGAAGTACTTTGGGTCTCACTTTCTAAATAGCTCGCCTGTGGAACTCCCTACCTCCGTTATTACAACACATAAGAAGTGATGTTACACTACGGCAATAAGTGCGTAAACTAAACCGTAGTTTCAGTTGTTACATTTTTCAACTTGAGTAAAAATTTCTCAAGTGGGACACTCAAAATTGAAAATGTTTATCCATCGATTATTTTATTAATTTTAGATAGATGTTATTGTAATATGATACTGTACAAAATTTGTTGGCTCTAGTGAAAATAGTATGCAAGTTATATGCAATTATTTTTTTTATGCAGACTTTTACTAAAAGTTACTTTATTTATTAGCTGTTATCTTCAACATTCTCAATCTCATTCCTTTTACACCAAAACTTTAAAAATTGTCTGACGATATAAAAACTGTAGTAGTTTTTTATTTTTTTTATTTTTATATTTACTTATTAGTAAATTTTTCATAAACAAGTTTTTTTTTACTTCTGGTTCTCCGATTTTATTTGGGCAAAATAAATTAAGATTAGCAGTCGCTCGCTCTCAGTTTAGTTAGGTTAGGTTAGGTTAGGGTGGCTGCCCTGCGCAGAGCGCGGAGCACACGTGGGCTGGAAAAGCCCGTTGTGGTACCACTGGCCGAAGCCATTTGTTTCTTTCCCTCTCTTAGTAATTGAACCGCCGAGTGTGTTTTATATAGCACAAAAAGTCGAGAACGTTCGCAGAGCTCAAATCGGCTAAACAATCTAGAAAGTACTTATTGCAGAATTGGTTGCGCATGTTGGCCAGGGCGGGACAGTGTTCGATGGTCTCCACCTCTTCCTCGTCTCTGCAACCTTTTCCGTGTGTGCCCATCAGGCAGTGTCCGGTGATTACCCCGAGAACTAATCTGAGAGAGGCGCGGTCCAGCCGGGTGAGAGCTATGGATCGCTTTACATCAATCTTTGGCCAAATTTGCCTGGTAGTATGGCAGGTGGTTTCCACAGCCCACCTTATATCCTCCTCAATGAGTTTCGCCTTTAGTCTGTGTTTGTAGGAGGTTAGAGGTATGCACGCATTCCGAGCAGAATTGACTACAGACATTTCCGTCCCCCTCCTTGCCAGATCGTCGGCTAGGTATTTGACAGGGATGTCCCTATTTCCAAGGACCCATACAACAGTCAAGGAGCATTTTGATGTCAGCAGGGTGAGAGTCTACCTGCATTCTATGGCTACTTTGGTCGTAGCTTCGTTAGAATTGAGAGATTTGATAGCAGCCTGCCCGTCAGAATAGAAAGAAATAGGCCATCCTGGAGGGGCGGAGGTTATAAGCCACCGAGCCGCCTCCATTATGGCGTTTAATTCCGCTTTAAAAACACTACAAATAAAAGGAAGATCGAAATTTTATACTATCATTTTGAAGTTATGTCTGACGGTGTTCGAATATGGGGCCACCCAGAGCAGATTATGTAAACAAATATGAAATGTAATAAAATAAAGTAAATAAATAAGTAAATGAAAAAGTAAAAAAACAAAAAAATATTTTTTTTTTCTTATTGATATTTTATGTCCAAAAGTACAAGTTAGTTGACATGTAATGCAGAGGTATCCAGGTCTGACTTTTTTGCGGCCATCGCCCCACAAAAGTAGTTAGCTTTTTTCGAACAAAATACACAGTTAATAGTTAGCACTAGTGTTCGCGTAAACAGACTAAAGTTAGGTATAAGCTAACGTCACTCCCTGCAGGGAGTTTACACTGCTGGTAAATGTGAATAAGGATTAAAATTTAAAAACTACTTAATACAACTAAAGTAAAATCTGTGGAAAATTAACAATAAAATACTTTTTTCGCAAAGGCTATAAAGGACCCTTTTATTTCTCAAAAAAACCTGGGTAACAGTTATTCGCTGCCACGCTGTATATATGTACAGTCAGTGTCAAAAAAATGCTTACCCTGACGTTTTGACGATTTAATTTATTTATGCTTTCCATACTAAATTTGTCTTATTTTTTATAAAAATAGCACAAATTTTAAGCGACTTGAAACACGTACTTTATTGTACTAAAATTTAATTGGCTACAATACTGAATACATACAATTTTTCTAAAAAGTTAGTTGAAAAATTTTAAATTTCGAATTACGAATTCATAGCCAACTGTCATCTACAGAAGAAAAATCAATTATAGCGAACGTCGCGATCGTCAGTTGTCCCGGAACGAAAGCGAGTGTCATACCAGCGTATGCACTGTGATCGAAAAAACACTGTAGCTTAAACAAAAAAGGGTTGAACAAATTTTTTTTTCTCCCAATTGAGAGCGAGCGACTGCTACTAATTTACTAATAAGTATATATAAAAATAAAAAATTTAAAAAACTACAACAGTTTTTATATCGCCAGACAATTTTTAAAGTTTTGGTGTAACAGGAATGAGATTATCTTCAACAGCTAATAAATAAAGTAAATTTTAGTAAAAGCCTGCATAAAAAAATAATTGCATATAACTTGCATACTAATAGCACTAGAGCTAAAAAATGTTGTACAGTATCATATTACAATAACACCTATCTAAAATTAATAAAATAATCGATGGATAAACATTTTCAATTTTGAGGGTCCCACTTGAGAAATATTTACTCCTTACAATCTCTACACAACTGTTGACGGCTAATGTAATTGTATTAATTAAGGTTATTAATTTCTGTAATTATTTTCCCTTGTATTTTTTACGTTATTTTTTATCTATTTTTATTTTTCTTTCCTACTCATTATTTAACTGTATGATTCAGCCCATAATATATAATTGTAAACCTAATGCTACTCATAAGTTTTATAACTTTTGTATTGAGATCACCATATAAATCAAATCAAATCAAAAAGGACAAGAATAGTAGTGCTCCGATACCATATGGAATACTTGTTCCATTTCGATGTTATGAACTTTACCGATGGTCTTATTTCCACCTTGTTTTGCCAAGCGTTCTTCTACGATCTTGGAACTACAACATTGGTCCGATGCGTCAACTTCTAGTCTTATGTCATGTAAGCCAACAAAAGCCTTTATAAGGAAAATGAAGAGCACAGATGTGCGTTTTCTGTTGTAAAAGGGCTAAGAATCCTCGCAGTCAAAGGACGAAAAGTTTTTTCGTACATTGGCTAAATGAGTCGTGTGATCTTTTGAATACCGTCCAAGTGAAGCCGTTGATATACCTACCGTGTTCTTTCTTGGAAGGAGGTGGTCATATCTTTCATGTGCATTGTCTATGTGTGAGTGTAAGGCCTTACTGCTACAGAAGATAAAGCACGTTCGTTTTCTCTAGGTCTCTGATTAGGATTTCGTTCTGCCTCCTAATTTCCAAAAACTTTTTCTTGATACCAGTTTTGAACATTTGTAAGGAACTTCAAATGGAAACTGCGAGAAATACATCATTTACATCATATCCATGGATGCAGTGCCCAAATTGGTATTTCTGTTAAAATATCTCCAAAGTAGGTTTTGCAAATCGCACCGATTTCAAATCGCACGAATTGCAGTACATGCCTGATTGATAAGTACTGTAGATACATTTTGAACACATATTTTAGCCACGCTTTTGACATACGTGCGCTTCGATAAAAAAAGGTATAATTACCTGCTGCGCCAAATTTACAAAATCTTGAAATCTCGCTGCTCGGTAGTGGAGTAAAACTTGAAATATTGATTTCTCGCGCCACTTTTTAGCGTACACGCGAATAAAATCCGCCGTCTGCTCATTTATCTGTCCATTCTTTTCATTTACCAACGGCTGAAAGCGTTGCCTCTCATGATACCCACGATAGGCTGTAAGTATAAACAACATTTGCAAAAAGTTTTATAAATGAAACCATAATATAAAAATTATTTGATTACGATATATGTACATATTAACGGCCGCCTACTCGGTAATCGTATGCAGGACTAGTACTTTCGCAACGAAAAGTAAGTTATAAAAAAAATGGAGGTGCCCTAATTAAGTAGAGTTTTTATTTCTTCTATTGGTCTCAGTTCATCTCTATTTTATTTTGATCATTTCCTAACATGAATTGAATATCGCTACTAAAATGCACAAAGCCGTAAACAATATAAAAAAATGTAATAAATATTTTTAAATCCCGCAGCCTACTTTAACCCTCTAGTAGGCCAATTTTTTTATGAGTTGAAAAATTCAGGAATGGGTGATTTTAGCACGAGAAATCCAAAACTGATGTCCATTTCGATCTGTGACACTGACTCTTTCCTACAGGGGAGAAAAGCCAAGACCGTCTGGAGACGGGCTCGCCGATATACTTACACATATTTTCAGCTTTCTCTTACACAATGTTGACCTACGAACCGGCAATGCCGTCTGCAGACGGTCAAAAATACAAACTGGGTTTAAATATGTCGGCAAGCTGGTCTGTAGACGGCCTGTGTTCGAAAGCAAATTTCTCCATTTCGGATAGTCAAACAATTATAAAACTTATATCAAAATCCTGTGCTTTTAACTACGAAACCCACCTAATTTTTTTGTATCAAAAAAATTTTCAAAAGAAAAAATTTCTTTAATTACGAAATTATTAAAAAGCAAGAAATAATTAATTTTAACCGTGTTTTCAAAATCGGTAATTCAACTGCCGATTAAAATAAAACGGATTGACATAACGGATTAAAATTTACTTCGCCAGAAGGGTACGATTTTTGTCTAAAGATCGTGCCTTACGAATATAGAAAAAAATTATTATAGGTGCACTAAAAAGGTGTTTAGTTAACGACCGTCTGGAGGCGGTTCTGCCTACTAGAGGGTTAAAATATACCTCCATACAGAAATGGCAGCGGGAACATAATTAAAATATAAATCGAGAATTTCCCTAAAGATATGTCCATATGTATTCATGTATATGTACTTAGCGTAACCAAAGTGGCTTCGTGTCTAAAAGTTCTCTTTAACACTAGGCTGGAGGTATTTTTTCGGTTTTTTTAATTATTTATTGGTCATACAAACAAATTAGTGTAAATCATCTTTTATTTGAATGCATAAAAGTTAATCTAATATCTGTGTATGCAGCTTGGTTATGAGTATAACTTAAACTTGAAAAGCAGATTGAAGTTATTAAAATTGAAGCACGGTGCAAAAGTTTTAGAAATTGTCTTATTCTAAAGGACATCCTGTAACCATCTCTAGTTGTTTTTTGTTTAAATTTTTGGTTTTTGTCTAATCGTCCTCCATTTGGGTAATTTGCTCCACTTCCGCTAAACGAGCAGCTGCAAGTGCCTCTTCTTTGCGTGCAGATTCAAACAGCTCCTCCGCTTCAGACGGTGTTTCACTGGCATCAAAGTATTCAACATCAAAATCTTTTTCGGAGCGTTCCTTATTACCTTTTTGAATTTTAGTGGCAGCCTCATCGTTGCGTGTAGCCCCTTTTGCTGAAAGAAATAAAAAATCTATTGATTGAAGAACATGAAATGAGTTAATGATATTTAAAAGTATAATTTAAATTTAAATAACACTGTGCTACAAAACGAGGAATACGGAATGAAAATAGATTTTTTAAGGTCCCTGCACCAAACAATTTTTTGTTTTATAAAAACCCGTTATTTTCGTACTTGACGCACCAATTCATTAATTCCACGACCCTAATAAAAAAGGCATGAGTACTAGGTACTCCCGAAATTTCATGTGTAAATATATGCGTACGGCATAGCATAAAAGTACGTTTACATATTAATATAATCTCAATCAAAGCTCACAAGTCGAGGAAAAGTTAAACTTCTTCTCTGCCCACCGTGGTCACTTTTTTCTGCTACATATATTATGCTATTTAAATATATTTTAACTGAATATTTTATTAAAATACCTTTACAAACCTCTTTTTCTTGCTAGCGTGAATTTTTGTTTACTTTTACATTTGACATTCCTCCCCTGCTTCGCAAGTATAATCGATAAAACCAGGTCTTACACCAAAAAGTTTTCGGTTTCATCTGAGATTATTTTTTAATTATAATTTTGTGTGGCTAATCTCTTTTTCAAATTACAGATTAGGGAGTTGAGCTTGAAAATGAGGATATACTTTTATATGTAAACCTATTATTAGGTAATTAAATTACATTAGGTGATTAACTTACATATATACACATGTAGGTTAGGTAGGAAATTAAACATAAATTTCTCCTAATTTTATTCATTTTGCTGATTAAATTTTTTTTATTCGTTTTCATTTTTAATTCTTTAAATATGTACAGGAAATTATCGGTATGATTGATAAAATATGAAACTTGTATATACTTGTGACTCAACGGCGTTGAAAACACCGCATCAGTTGCTGTTTTTGAGCTTGTAGCTTGAGCATTTGCCGCAATAAGAAGAGAGAGGCCGAAATACGTGAGTGCGAAGAGCCTGAGATGCTGGCCGACAGGAAGAACGCCCGAAAATTCTACCAGATTGTTAGGCGACTTACGGAAGGTTTCAAGACCGGGGCGAACTCCTGTAAGAACAACAATGGCGACCTAGTGACCGATGTCCAGAATGTATTTAAAGTGTGGAGGGAACACTTTTACAACCTACTGAATGGTAGCAGCGCTGAAAGTAGTGGAGTAGATGATGATGGAGTCGCTGTCCCACGGCCTGACTATGACGAGGTACGAGTAGCGATTACCTACATAATCTACAAGAAAGGCGGCCCCGCTATTCGCGCCAACTACCGCGGAATCAGCCTTGTAAGCATAGGTTTTAAGGTCTTATCGAGTGTATTGTGTGAAAGACTGAAGCTCACCGTCAACGAACTGATTAGACCTTATCAGTGTGGCTTTAGGCCTGATAAATCAACCATAGATCAGGTATTCACAATACGCCAAATCTTGGAAAAGACCCGCGAGAATAGGATCAACACACACCATCTATTTGTCGATTTCAAAGCCGCTTTCGACAGCATGAAGAAAATTTTCCCTCTCCGAGCCGTTTGATACCAAACGAGGTTTCAGACCAGGGGACTCCCTTTCATGTAATTTCTTTAATCTGATGTTGGAGAAGATAATAAGAGCCGCAAAACTGAACCGCCAGGCTTAATATCTTACAAGAGCGTACAATTGTTGGCGTACGCCGACGACATCGATATTATCGGTAAAAACAAGGGATATGTCTGTTCTGCCTTCTCGGGGTTGGATAGAGAAGCAAAGCGAATGGGTCTGGCGGTGAACGAGGAAAAAAGAAGTATCTCCTGTCATCACACAAACAGTCAGAGCATACGCGTCTTGGCACCCACGTCACTATTGACAGTTACAAGTTTGAACAAGTAGACGACTTCGTTTATTTGGGAACCAGCATTAACACCAATAATAATGTCAGCCTTGAAATCCAACGGAGAATCACTCGGGCCAACAAGTGCTACATTGTGCTGAGTAGAAAATTGAGAAATAAAGTCCTCTCTCGTCTTACAAAGGTCACACTCTATAAGTCACTTATCATGACTGTGCTGGTGTATGGTGCGGAGGTATGGACAATGAAAGCATCTGCTGAGGCGGCCCTTGGAGTTTTCGAGAGAAAGATTCTTGCGAAAGATTTACGGACCTTTACGCCTTGGTGAGTGCGAATATCGCAGATGATTTAACGATGAGCTGTATGAGCTTTACAACGATATAGACATAGTGCAGCGTAGTGCATAGGACAGAAACGCGCCGGCTCTGAAAATATTCAACGCGGGCCGCGATGCTGGTAACAGAGGAAGAGGAGGGCCTCCTCTGCGTTGGAAAGACCAGGTCGAGAAGACCAGGTGGCTTCACTTGGCATTTCAAATTGGCGTCAGTTAGCACAGAAGAGAAATGACTGGCGTGCTGTTTTGGACTCGGCCAAAATCGCTTAGGCGGCTATAGCGCCAATAAATAAGAAGAATAAGCTTGAGCATTTGTATTTGTATGTATTTCTAAATTTAGCTTTTCTTTTATGAATATAATCTGTGGTTCTGCTTCATCTGTCGCTAGGTTAACGTTAAAGTTTTGAGTACATATAACATCTCTCGCTAGGTTAACGTTAAAGTCTTGAATACATATAACATACCATCTTTTGGTTGCAAAATGGGAGGCTAAATTCATTTGTTCGGCATTTTCTCTTACTCTCGTCTCCTCTTTTTGCAATCTTGTATTAGCTCTGATCCAGTACTCAATGAAATTACAGGTGTTTACACGAACTTGTAGGGAGTTACAGGAAAAATGATCCCGTACTCCAAAATCCTAAAAATGAGAGCGATTTTTCGATAGTTGTGTAGAGAATGAAGTTGCAAGATTTTACCCCATGCTTTTTTTTTTGTTAGCAAATGTAGGTGATTGACGTAGACACGGATTGCTTGAAAATCAAACTTGTTTGATTTTGCCCGCAGTATCGTGAGAAAAATAAGAAGAAGATGGTATCTGAAGTTCAAAACTGAAGTATTTTTATAATAAAAATCATAATTTAATCGTTATTTTGTGTTTTTTTCAATCATCTCTAATCGTTATTTTGGATTTTTATTTTTTTCAATCATTTTTAACGGTTGTAATAGAGACAGTGTTTTTATAACCGTTTTAAACCTTTATGATCAAAAATATTAAATCTGAAAAAATAAAAATCATAAAATAACTTAAAAATGATCGGAAAAATAGAAATCCATGTACATATACGTTTTTTTTTTGATCGAAAAAATAAAAATCATAAAATAACGATTAAAATTGATCTTAAAAATAACAAGTAAGAAAGTCTAAGTTCGGGTGGAGCCGAACATTAAAAACCCGGCGCCAGTATTCAATACATATTTTTTCACCTTTCCGAAAGCTACCGCTAGATGGTAAGCCAGGGTGTATCGATTTTGAGTAAATTAGCGTCCTTAAATTTCGAAATATTGCAGTTTCAAGCATTTCTGAAATTTACCGTTAAATGAGAAGCGGCCGTAATTTTAGTCCGATTTCAATAATTTTCAACGTTTTGCTTTTATGTGGCAAGCACAATAAAAATACCGAGTTTGGTACAAATTGGTAGAACGGTTACCGATATACTAAGTGGGCGGTGCCACGCCCATTTTCCAAAATTTTATCATAGGCGTATTTCTAGGTAAAAAATTGTTGCAAACACCAATTTTGAATAAATTAGCTTAAATATTTACTGATATATCGAAGATTTCGTATTTCTCTAAATTACCTTTATATGGGACTAGCAATTACCCGGCGTGCTTCGCTGCGCCTTAAATGTATTTTTGTGTTGTAACTCTCCCCCTAAGCTCTTATGGCCTCATTTACAAAATATTTTTAAAGAACTTTATGAAGTTAGATTTAAAAAAATCGATCTATGAAGCATTGTTTATTTTTTTTTTGAGTTAATATATTTTCGAAGGTAATTAGAAAATATGTAAAGAACCGACTTTCTCTTGGAAATTTAATTTATAATCTTATAACTGGAGTCTACTATCGCACCCTTTCCTCAAACGTGTATTGATTCAATATTCAAATAACGTATATTTATATAATTTGAAAAAATCTCCCTACTATACAAATATGTACAGCAATATTAAATAATATTTTCAAATGTTGTGAGAGGGAGTAACAAAACAAAATTACTTTTAAGGCGCAGCGAAGCACGCCGGGTATTCGCTAGTGTCACATGAAATTAACTGAGCAAAGTACAATGAATAGCTGTTAAACAATGGCACCATCTACTTTAAATGAAACATACTTATTTTCGTGGGGGATACTCACACACCATATACTTTTCTATTGAAATTTTTCCTGAATTTTCCTAGCTATAAACCTCCAACGAATGCAAAACCGTGAAAATCGGTTCGTGCGTTCTGGAGTTATAGCGTCAGGAAGGAAAACCCTACTTATTTTTATATTAATTTTTATATTAAAGAAGATTAAAGAACTGTCCGCATTACTCAATTTTATTTTTCACTAAAACGGTATTCATGAATTTTTTAATTTTTTTTTTATTTGCTTCCGCATACTTTTGACATAACAGCTTTAATTTGATACCCATATTAAACAAATACATCCTAAGGTTACCCGGGTCCACGTTTTGGGGCCACGCCCCCTTTATATATCAAAATATTTTTTACCCTGTGACCATCCCTGGAAGATATCCAGTGCGTGTGTAAAATTTGGTTACGATCGGCTTATTCGTTTAGGAGCCAAGTGTGTCTATAGGTACATACATAATTTGAATTTTATATATATAGATGTGGGCGTGATTATTGTCCGATTTAAAAAAATTTTAACCATTTCGTATGCTATACCAAGGCCAACAACTCTGCCAAGTTTGGAGGAAATTGGTGGAGCGGTTACCAAGATATACACATGTAACCATAAGTGGGCGTGGCTACGCCCATTTTGCAAAAATTTATAATATTCTTATTTGTCGTCTAAAAATTATTGTAAATATCAATTTTGAGTGAATTATCTTCAGT